GGCTTTAGGAACTTCCTTTCCTGCTTAATTTTGAACTAGGTGATATTTATGATCCCTTCCTCTTTTGATTATAAAATATCTTGAAATACTAAGTAGTGTTATCAATAATAATTACATACTCAATATAATAAGTAAGGTTTCTGGACAGGAAAAAAATTTAATTGGGAAAAATAGTGGCCACATAGAAAATTTATTTAAAATTCTGAGACTAATAAAAATATTTAACATTTACAATGAAGCATGGCAAAGAAAGTTAATTTTTTTGTTTGTTTACCTTTTTATTGATGTTTTTCTTTTTTTAATTTTATTTTAATTTATTATTTTTTTTCAAATACATTTGTCTCTGCCTCCCCCCCCACCACTTTCCCTTGCCCCCTCTCTCCCTCCCTCCCTCAGCTCTTCCCCTTTGGTTTTGTCCATGAGTCCTTGCTATATGTTCCTTGACTTACCCCTTCCCTTCCTTTTCCCCGCCCCCCATCCCCCCTTCCCTCTTGTCTCTGTTGATTTCTTTTCCTTTCAGTGTTGCTGGTCTTATTTTCCTTGCATCTTTGTATTGTTGGTTAGGTTCCGCTTATAGGTGAGATCATATGGTATTTGTCTTATCATATGCTGCGTATACTACGCAGCAGAAAGAAAAAAAGAACTACTAAACTTTGCGACAGCATGGATGGAACTGGAGAGCATTATGCTAAGCGAAATAAGCCAGGGGGTGAAAGAAAGTTAATTTTTTGATATCAGTAAGATGGAAATGATTTAGTACAACTGTAAACATTTTTAAGTTAAGACCAAATGAAAAGGAAACGAGTTTGTGACAGTAACAAAATCTACAATTACATAAACTGAATGAAAAAGAAAAGACTAAAATTTTTCTATAAGGTTTTCTTTGTTGGATCACTCATGCTTTCATTCATTTATTCTTATCTAAGGAGTCTTGTTGCAAATGTCTAAAATCTATCCAGGATGTAAATTCCAAAGAGAAAAGGTGATAAAAGAATATTAATTTTATCCCTTATATATTTTAGCTATGAAAGTGTACAGTAGCAGTTTGTTATTGAAAAACTTCACAATGTGCTAATTTTTAAAGCCATGTATAAACATTTTCTCAACATGTTCTAAATTCCCTTCTATTCTCAGGATACCAAAGCCCTCCTTATGATAATCCTTTTTGGAATTTTTTTATAAGAATATATATACACACACATATGAGATTGTACAATATATTGCAACTTTAAACATCAGTCACAGGACTTCATAAAGAATATCAATCATGAGAACAAAATTATAAATAACAGTAGTTTTAATGTTCTTCGATAGGTCTTTTTCTTTTTTAAAAAATTTTAAAATGTTGATATTAGAGATAGAGGAAGGGAGAAAGAAACATTGATTTGTTGTTTCATTTATTTATGCATTCATTGGTTGCTTCTTGTATGTGCCCCAAAAGGGGGATTGAACTCACAACCTTGGCATATTGGGACAATTCTCTAACCAACCGAACTACCCAGCCAGGGCTAGAGAGGCCTTCTTGTTTTAAAAATAATTTCAAGGTCATTTCATCATGGCCATTATTCTCCTGAAAACATTGCCGCACACAGCAAATAATCAGTCTGGTTCTGTGTATTACACTTTTAATTCTAATTTTAATTTGCAGAAAACTACGCCAACAAAGGACTAGAGTGCATGCATGTGTGCGTGCGTGTGTGTGTGTGTGTGTGTGTGTGTGTTTCCCAGCTGCCTCTGCCCTCCACAGGAAACAAGGTGCTAAATGACCTCAGAGAGGAGATCCCAGGGATTCTTTCTATTTTAATTTAGTCAATGGTGACCTGTTTTCAGAAACTGATGGGCTGACATACCCAATCTTCCCTGGCAATGTGATAAGGTAGCCCCACCTCAAGAAAATGAAGCAAATAACACAGTGTTGTACTAATAGTGAAATAAAAACTGATTTAATTTGGGAAGTCTTTTGATATGTATGACTTTCAATAAGAAAGACGTGATAATGATAACAAAAGGGTTTAGAAGAGAAGCCAGATAATTTAAAAATAAGAAATAAGAGGAGAAAAGTAAATGTTTAAAGAACAGAAGGCTAGATGGCAACAATTTCTTCAAATACTTTAAGAATCATTATAAGGAGGGAAAATAAATGAAGAACTCAAAATATGGATTTGCAAGCCCTTGAATATTTAGGTTATGTTTAGACTTAGAAGACCATCTTGCTTCAGTTTTGAGAACAAGGGTTCATTCACAGAATTCTTCAAACTCTGAAATCATTGAAAAATGAATATTTATTAAATTAATTTTAGACACCCCTATCCCTGTGTTTTGGGAGCACTAATAGGACTTAATTTTGCCTCAAGGTTAAGTTGCTCAGCATACCAAGCTAGAATAATTGGATCTCACCACTTCCTCATATCGAGACTGGCTTTAGCCTTCCTGAAGAGGGAGATCATAACCTGGAGCAAGAAAGAGATTCAGACTGAAGAAATATCTCAGGTTAAGCTGTTTCATCTATTAAACTCATCTTTCCTTTCAGGTCATGTAATCAGTAACAAATTGTCTTTCTGCCAACAGAAAGGGAAGAGAATAATATAACCCCTAGGTAGAGAAAAAAGGAAATCTACTCTCTCAGAATTTGAAAGGTATTAAAGTAAAAAGCATCTTACTGATTTGAAAAATTTCTAAACCCCGCCTCTTCTTACTTTATTGAGAAAAACACTTAAAGGTCTTCCTGTAATTAAACCTGCTTTGCCGCTGGTTTGAAAATACCGTTACCTACCTCACAGAGTAACGATTTTCAACCGGTGTGCAGCAAGATTTTCTAAACATGCAGTACCTGACTGTTTAGTCAGGGACACTGACCTCTTTTCTCTTAGATTATAAAATTTAAAAAAATGACAACAGCCAATACAACAATAGCTGTCCAGTGTGAATGCATCAAATTTATACCTGCGTGTGTGTGTGTGAGAAAGAGGAGAGAGAGAGAGAGAGAGAGAGAGAGCGAGAAAGAGAGATAGGCAAAAAATATATTATTTGGTGTGCAGAATTTTAGTAATTAGTTTGTGTGCCACAAGATGAAAAAGGTTGAAAATTGTTGAAATAGAGGAATATAGTAGTAGTATAGAACTGCAGTTAAAAGATACTCAATGCCAGTTAAGTAACATTTGAAATCCAAGAAAGAAGTCAAGAATTCCATGATTGGGTGTTTCCATATTCATCCGGAGCATAACTGATTGAAGAGTATATTCATTTGGGATTTGCATATCAAGGAAAAGATGTTTATATATTTTGCAAAGAAGTGAACATCTGATTCTTTAAAAAGTAGGTCGAAAAATTTCTGGAGTTTGATATTATGATAGAAATGTGGTTTGGAAAAAAAAGAATCTTAAAAAAAAGTCATGAACAGAGGCTGCAGGTAGGCACGGGGAGATGGGGGTGGGGGAGTAGCGGGAAGAATTAAGAAAGCAAAACGCAGCTGTAGGTAGAAACTGTACCTGTCCCAAAGTGGGTCTGCGTGCCGCTAACGCCTTGCACATTGCTCGTGGAAACTCATCTACTAGTCCCGGGGTGGGCCAAGGGCGGCAACAAACTCCTAAGGAGGGCAGCAGAACTGAAAGTGTTCTGTTCTCGGGAGTCCCGGAGCGAGGGGAAGGTCCTAATGGGTAAAGCAGTGTGTCCTTCCACGGCTCGCAAGCCTCTCCACTGGTTTCTTCCGTCCCTACTCAGTCAGTCCCAGCCTTGGGGCAAATCGAGTTGGGGCTGACCAGTTGCGGGAGACCCAAGTTCCTACAAGGTCCCCCCGGGATCTAGATGGGGAGCTCCCTTGGTCTTGCCAATCATAGGCCCTTGCTCCTACGCGTGGAGCCTGCACAACAAACCCTGCCTAACTGAGCCTTTGCCACGCTAATCTTGCCGCCCTTGGGGCCGCGGGGCGCCGCCTGCGGCCCGGGCAATTGGGAGCTCCAGGACACTGCAGCGGGACCGTTCCCGCGCTCGCTGAGGGTGTGCGGGAGGGTTAGCGGGGAGGAGGGGTGCGGCAGGGTACGCCCCTCACCCCACCGCATGCCCACGGGTAGCGTGGGAACTGGTGGCAGGATCTCCCCACCTCCGCGCGCCCCAGAGCACGCCGCTCGCGGGGGCTTCAACCCCAGTCCTCCTGGTCCTGGCTTCCGGTCGCCGGGGCAGAGCCCGCTGCTTGGCCGCTGGCTCGCTCTCCCGGCTGGCTGACCAATCCAGGTTTGGAGTTCAAGATTCCCGCCGCTCCGCTCGCACTACGCCTTCCCACTGCTTTTTCTTGCCTTTTTTTTTTTTTAAACTTTCACTCCAGTTATGCTACATTGACGCTAAGCTTCTTCTCGGACGTCCCTCCAAGGGGATTTAACGAGGATCCTGGGCACCAGCCGCCAATGTCCGTACTCGCCGCCCCTTGCCCAACCGAGACACCCGCGGGCGGGGAGGGGCGGGGCGGGGCGGGGCGGGGCGGGGCGGAGCCGGAGGGCTGGGTCCGCGTCGGGAGGGGCTGGGCGGAGCCGCCTCCGGCTCGGGGGTTACCCCCGGCTCGCCCCAGCCCAGCCGATCTAGCCCCCTGGGCAGCTAGTCCGCGGAAGAGCGGCACACGGGCGATGGAGACAGGCAGACTCTGGGCGAGAGGAGGCTGGGTGCAGGAGGCGGAGAAAGCGCGCGGGCGGAGGCTGGCAGGGGGCGCTGGAGGCAGGAGCCGCCGGCGCGCTACTCGCGCCCGAAGGTGCAGGAGGCTGTGAGCCGCGGCAGCACCGCGAGCCTTCGGGGCAAGGGCGACGGCTGGGCCAGGAGGTGGGGGTGCTGCCGCCTCCGGGGGCGTCGCCGGCATCCGCCCCTTTGTTCTCGCGCGCTCCCCCTGGCCGCCCACTCCCCTGCTGTCGCGCGGCGGCGGTGGCGGCGGCTCCTCCCGCCCGAGGCAGTGGGGCTCGGCGCCGGGGGCGGGAGGGAGCGGGGGGGAGCGCGCCAGCCGCTGAGAGTGGGGGGCGATGGCGAAGCTCCGGGTGGCTTACGAATACACGGAAGCCGAGGACAAAAGCATCCGGCTTGGCTTGTTTCTCATCATCTCCGGTGTCGTGTCGCTCTTTATCTTCGGCTTCTGTTGGCTCAGTCCCGCCCTGCAGGATCTGCAAGCCACGGCGGCCAATTGCACGGTGCTGTCGGTGCAGCAGATCGGCGAGGTGTTCGAGTGCACCTTCACCTGTGGCGCCGACTGTAGGGGCACATCACAGTATCCCTGCGTCCAGGTCTACGTGAACAACTCGGAGTCCAACTCCAGGGCGCTGCTGCATAGCGACGAGCACCAGCTCCTGACCAACCCCAAGGTAAGGACGCCCGGCGAAGGATGCCGTGGTCCCGCGGAGGTCTTGAGGATAGGGGAGCCTCGGGGTAGACCCCGCGCAGGCTGGGCTGGGAGTATGCTTATGTTACTAGGAGGATAGAAGGCGTCGGAGATTGCACTCAAACCTGCAGAAAGTACTTCAGGGATCCTCTGGCAGGCCCTTCATGTGAATTTGTGTGCGGCGACCCTTGGTTCCCTGAGGCTTTCTTTACACACTTGTTTTGCCTGACCTCAGATTTTGAGGCCTTGGCCCAGGTCAGGTCTGGCGCATGAAGGATGGGCTTTCGATAAATGCAAGGAGCATAAAGTTAACTTTTCCTCCCATCAGAGCCAGCTTTGTAACAGAGATCCACCTACTATGGTCAAGGTCCGAGCAGCCCCTAAAAGGTGTTAGGAGGGCTCCTTGCCGTTTAACTCTGGACAAACGTTTTTAAATTGGGGTCCAAACATGAGCTTTTGAGGGTCGACAAATGATAAAGATTCTGAAATTCTGCATAGGTCCTTTGGGTACAGAGAACTCATAGTTTAATGAAATACATTCCCAAAAAGGTGTAGAGGGAGACTAATGACTATGTATCTGGGGGACAACTGGGAGCTATTTGGAAAGAGGTAAAATTTACCGAAAAATAGAAAACCCTCCCTGAAATGCACCAGTATTCCTTTCCTGGCCACTTCTTTCGTTCTCACAAGAAAAAAAAAAAACCTGGTTATGACTCGAGGGATGGAGAGCAGAGAAAGACTCAAAACGGTTCCCAGTGGAGAAAAAACTTATAAAAAGCAGTGTCCTCAGTTTGTGAACTAATTGAGCTTTGTAGTCCACCTGGTTCTGCAAGAAGGATCTTTCTTTTTCTTCTTCTTCTCTTGGTCTGTTTTACTATTCTTGTGGCTTAACTATCAAAGTGAAGGTGTGTATCTTCTTTAAAGTTACTGACATTTTCTCTGTGGAGGCTGTGTTTCAAGATCAAGGAGGAAAACAGCCTAAAAGGGGATAAATCTTGTGTACATAGGAGAACTTTGTTAAATGTGACAAGAATAATTATATCAATCCAAAAGAAAAAATGTCTATATTAATATTTTTAAAGTATTTAAAATAAGCATACTATTTCTCAATAGCTAAACTCCTGGCCATATATTCTAAGGAGTAAATTCTTGAATTTGGGAAATTTTTTAAAAAGGAGTTCTTTTTAAAACACTATGACTCATCTTTTAAAAAATGCTCCTGCTGACAAATGAATATTCATTAACCTTAAAAATTAAGATAATATATAAGCAGTAAACATAGACATACAGCATTTAGATTGAGAATAATGTTCAAAGTCTCGAAGAAATAATAATGTTTCAAAGACAAGTGTAAGTTAATCTGTCTAATGCTCAGGAATTTCAAAAGAAATACCAGGGTTTTAGAAACATCACACTTTTTTAAAAAAGATTCAACCATTAATATAAAAGAAAGCTGTGAAGCAGTAATAGTGATTTAGAAATTAAATGGTAGTATATCATTTAGGAGGTGTTGTTAAAATTGATGAAGCAGTGCTAATTAGTTTAAGATAGTGGTTCAGTCAGTAATAAATTAAATGCACATATGAGTAAATGGTTAATATCTGATCAAGACATTGGAAAGTTAGAATTTACTTCAAAAAGGCTGCATCCCAATTTTGAAGGATCTGGCAGAAAAAGTATATTGAGATCATTAGACAGATTTTTAAATCATTTGAATACAGTCGTAATGCTTTATATAATACTACAATTTTCTTTATTACTTTTTGTTATAAAAAATCTGTTTTCTTCCAGTGTCAGTTCAGATCCTAGCAACCATTGTTTTGAAGAGGTATCTGAATAAAATAACATGGTATAAAGTTATTCAAGAAATGATAGAACTGAAGAAAGATCTATTTCTGTTACAGGAAATAATGAACAGCCTCCCAATTTAGTCAAGTTTCCCTCAGCCAAATCAGTATATATCTCTTCATCCAAATTGTGGTTGCTTGTAGCATTTATAGGACATAAGTTTGTTCTTTTACAGTCATCTTTCTACTTTTGGGCAATTAAATGCTCAATTTGGAAATTCTCGTAAGCAATTAGCAATGGAAAAATTCAACGCCACTGATATATTGTGCCAGAGTCCCAAACGTAAACAGAATGTTTCTGTAGTGCCCTTTCTATTGGGCAATACCCATTGCCTATTCCCCTTGCATTTTGGCTGCCTAAGTCTCTTTTTTTTTTGTCTTACCTTACCTCTTTATTGAAGGTGCATTCCCCACCCATTCTCTTTTTCTGGCATGTCTGGGTTCCCTACAGTGCATGGGTCCTAACCACCCAACATTCTCTTCTTCATGACCCACTACCACAAGATACCATGTGGGAAATCACTTCTCAGAAAAAAGAGAAGAAGGACTTTCTCCCCTCTATTGAGTTTGCTGTTTTAATTACAGTGAAAGGCAGGGAAAGGGAAAAATATTGCAACATACTTGTGTAACTTCTTAAGCCATAGGCTACTGAAGAAGATAGGGTGACTAAATTTGATTTTTGACTAATAATTTCTTTAAAATATCTTCAAGTCCTTTTCAACTTATTTCTGTTTTGAATCATATCCTTATTATCTAATGTAATCACTGTATCCAGTCATGTAATATTGGAGTCAACTAATTATGCACAGGGCAATGATCTGCTCTGTGAAGTAACCATAGCAGATCTAAATTTGGGATCAGCATCCTCTTGTTGCTATTTCCATCACTGCATTACTTCTTTGTGACTTGAGTGTGCTAAGGACTTTGATCCTTAACTATAGCTGCACTGTAGAATCATTAGGGGAACTTTAAAAAGAAATGCTCATGCCTGGGTCCAGCCATCATAGATTCAGACTTGGTCATGGGAGGGTTGGGCACATGAATGTTTTGTAAACAGTTGTGAAAGTGATTTTATGTGGAGACAGAGGCAAAATCACTGGCTTAGAAAATGTACTCATCTATTTTGCAAGAAAAGTAAAATAAGAACCAAAAGTATTCATCATGATTAATGTTTGTGTTTGTAGGTCAAAAGATGTTACTGATGCTACTGAATGGTATAAAAGGAGGAACTCAAGGAAATTCTAAAGCACTAGAAGAAAATCACTTAAAAATTACAGATCACTCTTGAGTAACATGGGTTCAAAATGAGTGGGTCAACTTATATGCGGATTTTTTTCAATAAATACAATAATTGTATTTTCTCTTATGATTTTCTCAATAACATTTTCTTTTCTCTAGCTTACTTTCATGCAAGAATACAGTACATGCAAAGTATGTGTTAATCAACTATTTATGTTATTGGTAAGGCTTCTAGTCAACAATAGGCTAGTAGTAAAGTTTTGGGGGAGTCAAAAGTTATACATGGATTTTCTTTTTTAATTTTAAAGAGATAGCAGAAGACAATAACAAAGGTGCCTTTTTAAAAAATCCACACCCAAGGACTTGTCCATTAATTGGAGAGAGAAACATCTTTGGGAAACATCAGTAGGTTGCCTCCCATACGCACCCTGACTGAGGATCAAACCTGCAATCTAGGTATGTGTCCTGACCAGGAATCAAACCTGCAGCCTTATCTGGTGTACAGGACGATGCTCCAACTAACTGAGCCACCTGGCTAGGGCTATATGCGGATTTTTGACTGTGGACTGTTGGTGCTCCTAATCCCATGTTATTCAAGGGTCATCTGGAGTTTGGAAATGATCATTTTAAATTGGTTAAGTATCAATTAAATGAGCTTATGCAGTTCCAGACATTCGCTTTTGCATTTGTATATACATTCGGTGGCAAAGGAAAGATCAGTTTTTAAAACCAGCCTCTTATATGTGGAATGAGAGAGAGTGGGTGATTAGACGCTATGTGTTTTATTTTTGGCGTTGAGTTTTTTTCTTTCTCTGATATGAAAGACCTAAAAACAAAGGACAAAAGTCTGTCTGAGAAACCAGTGCTGTAAAAGTGAGAGAAATGCAGTGATGAGAAGAAAAACGGGTGGAATTAGAAGAGGCTTTCAGCCTTCAGTATATCCGCTGGAACTGGTGTACCTCACTAGAGGGCTCTGCCGTGCACAGGCCCCTTTTCGGTGTTCTTCACGTCCTGGCCGGCGTGTCCCGCCCCACCCTGCCACAGACACTTCTTGGGTAGACAGTGTGTTTCAACAGGGCTCCTTTCTAAACTCCATTCTTGAAATAAATGTTCAATGTGATATACTTTGAGTTCTATGGAAGTCTGTCATATCAAAACTGAGTAGTAAAAGGTAAAGCTTAATTGTAACAACGTCTCTACAATCTTTATGTCTCCATCAAAAACTTACTATAGTTTTTCCTCTGATGACTATATTGAGTAATTTCTACTAAGTTTATACAATTCAATTCTTTTAAAAAAAGTTTTTTAGAGAAAGGGATGGAGAAAAAGAGGGAGAGAAACATCAATGTGTGGTTGCCTCTCGCATGCCCCCAGCTGGGGACCTGGCCTGCAACCCAGGCATGTGCCCTGACTGGGAATCGAACCAGCGACCCCTTGGTTTGCAGGCTGGCACTCAATCCACTGAGCTATACCAGCCAGGGCATATAAAATTCAGTTCTTATGTATCTATTATGATCAAAGAACTGGGCAAGAAACAGGAGGACATACAAAAGTGAGTTCAGTCATTAACAAATACTTATTAGATGCCTGCTCTGTGTTGTGAATGCTTCTAGGTTCTGACACTAGAATAGAGATCAATATAAAGCTTCTGCTCTCAAGAAGTTCACATTCTGGTAGAGGGTGGCAGACAAAAAGTAGATTTTTAACATAATGTCATGTAATGATACATGTATAAAGAAAATTTTAGCAGCATAAAGGTATAGACAATGATGGAAGAAATGAAGGGCTGCTATTTTGCATAGGATGGTCAGGGAAGGTGGCTCTGATGGAGTGACATTTGCATAGAGACCTAAAGAACCTGAGGGGATGAGCAGAGTTCTGAAGAACATGAAGGAAT